AACTTAATTGCTGACATGACAAAATCCATTCCAGACTATTTGGACTTGATTTCAGTATTTACATTATACAATAACAGCTAGTGTTTTGTTTGCACTCTGTAGATGACTGTACACCACATCTAGAACAGAGGATGACAAAATCTCGTTCCCTCTCCAAGATGAGCATCTCTTCAGCTGGCAGCTCTATTTATCACCTCCACCGCGAGCCTTCTTACAGCCTGGAAGATTCAGAGGATGATGATGAATCTGAGATACATGTCATTTATAGTCCTGCCCCACATAGGGAGCACTCACCAGATGAGGTTCCTCCACAGGTAAAATCAAAAAGTCACGACAAAATCTGTGGAAATTATGACTTGTAAAATTGATGTGACATTTTGTCATAATGTCTTTGTTCAAATGCAAAGCTGGAGACCGAAGTCCATTCATACTCCTATAACCTAATGGGGCTTCTCGGCCTCCTTTAAAAACAGTTCATGCAAAACATACATTTTGTAATTCTCTCACTAGATTATTGAGCTCAACAAGCGCATGTCAGCAATTGAGACTCTTCTGAGCCGCTTGGAGCAGAAACTGACCTTACCTGTAATTGGGGCAGAACAAGTAAGTTTAAAGTAAATCTGCACAACCTACAGGTTATTATTTTAGGTTTATAAATGAAATGCTTTAAATACACTACTGTAAGTTTTTGTTATTTATTTTTTTGAAAGTCTGCATTTATTTGATCAAAAATACAATAAAGACTGTATTATTGTGAAATATTATTCAGTGTCACATGATCCTTCAGAAATCATTGTAATATGCTGATTTGGTGCTCAAGATTTTTTTTATTATTATTATCAATGTTTAAAAACGTTGTGCTGCTGCTTTTTTCAGTATTCTTTAGAAATATTTAAAATTTCAGGATTCAATAGAAAATTCAAAAGAAGAATATTTATTTGAAATGGACTGTTTATATAAGAATGTAAAAGTCTTTACTGTTTGATCAGTTTAATGCATCCTTGCTGAATTAAAGTATTAATTTCTTAAAAAAAAAAAAAACGTACTGACCCCAAACATTTGAATGGTAGTAATTTACTTTATTACTACTCAGAAAAAAATCTTTAGCAGAATCCGTATATTGGTTTTACCCTTAAAAAGAGAAACATATCATCAACATTTCAGGATAAGTCCATAAAAGGTAATTCAGCAACTCTGAAACACTTTTATTGATTGGACACAGTTTAGAAAGAATCACATGGAGACACTCCTGACTTTAAATCCTAATGTAGTTTTTCTTGTCTCCCTTTACGTTGAGCAGAAAGAGGAGGATCTGTCTCCAGCTGACTTAGAGGAGCTTGAGCTCCGGAAAAAGCTTGAAGAACTTACTGAAAAAATAAGTGACAAAGGCTCATCTGATGAGGAGGATGCAATGAAACCTTCAGAGGACTCTCCAAAGAAAGGAGCAGTTTATTATGCTCTAGCTATGAGAGGAGATTCAGCTGGACTTGGGAATGTCAGACACGAATGGCCTCTTGAGGTTGAGTGGGTAAGATTATCGAAACAGTCAGAATCTAGCATTAAAAATACTGTTAAACATAAAGAGTGAATATTTATTCATGTTTCTTACAAATGCTTGAGTTCAGCAGTGCTTTGGTTTGAACGCACACTACTGTTCTTATTCCTTTTTAATATTATTTCATATTAAAAATTAATATTTAATATAAATTTGTAATTTTGTTTCTAATTGTATACTTCAGAAAGCAAAGCCAACTGTACCTAAATCCTTAAAGAAGCAGAAGAGGGTGAGGTCCTTTGAGTTTAGCAACACAACCAGCTGTGAGTTGTCGCAACTGGAGTGTAACGTTGCACGGGCAGTGGCCAGCGTCCAGAGCACTCAAAGTGGAGTACGCCACTCAGTCTAAACATTAACATTTACTCCACATTCCTTCTTCCAACAAAGCCGTAACTCTCCATATCTTGCCTTAACTGTTCGTTAACCATTGCTCTGTTCTTCATGTAAAGGTTACAGATATTCAGAAAAGAATCGCTGCTTTGAGTGCTGCAGGGATGACGGTGGAGACGTCCCGCAGACAGGTATGTAGCAGTCCAGCTGCTCAGAGTTACATATTCCAGTTTAGTTTTCCAGAACCCTGGCTGTACAGGAGCTAGTACTGAATCTTTCAGAGAAAAAAAAACATATATATATTTTTGACACATTGTGAGCTAAATTCTGTTGTGAATAAAGCAGGTCTTTGTGGCAAGTTCAGAAAGAGGCTAAATATGGTTTTGTTCTTCCCTTTTTCATTCAGACTCCTCAGCCATCAAGAACATTGCATGAATTTCCAATTAGTAAGTGCAAAACGTTGTACTGCATATTCAATAACTTGTAATCTGTTATTTACATTTATTTCACACAATCATCTTTGTGTTGTATAAAAGCTAAAAGCTACATTTGTTTTCATCTTCTTTTGCACTTAATTTTGTATAAATGTCTTTGCAATTATATATCAAAATATTAAACCAAATTCATTAATTTTAAAAATAGCACGTTTTTAAAAAATAAAAAAAGACATTTCACAAAAGGCCGTTTGTCTGGTATCAGATTATAAAATAGATTGTTCCCAGATACAAATCCTAATATTTGTAAACCACAATTTGACATTTAAACCTAGTTTTATTTCACAGTGCAGTGATTTTAACGCATTAAACTGATAGCAATCAGATCCCCTGCTCGGCTTCTGGAACAAATCGACAACTCGCATCCTTTGGTCATGAATGAGCCTATGGAACATTTTCAGTTTGGTTAGGATGTGAGCTGTATATGAAATTATATGGAATTATAATATGAAATTGAATTGAATTGCTTAACAGATTGTCTTTTCAGAAAGTCACCAAAAGCTCTTTACTACTAGTCAGTTTCTAATCAAAATTCACTCAGTATTCATGTAGGTAACAACATGAAGAAACATGTCTCATGTACTTATGTTCTTTGTGCTTTCTCTGAAGGAGGCAGCAATGAAGCAAGATCTTTACGGAAGCTGACTTTCAGCAAGCTAGCGCTCTTTCACATATTTTTAGAAGTCCATGATGGTATACAAACTCATAGAACATTGATGGATTTACATAAAGCATATTTCATATGTTAATAAAATCAGCTGCAAGGGTTTGTGGAATTCCCATCTTAATAATATATAATTAATACTTGCTTTAATCTTTCAGTAGATGAGTGTCAGATTATTCTGACAAACGAGAGGCTCACCTTTTTTAGAATAGAAAATTTCTGTTATGCACACAATAGAAATTGTTTGTCTATATTACACTTATTAACTGCTGTTGTTTTGATAAAAACTCAATATTTATACCATAATATAGTCAATATTTAATATCTTAATTCAGATTTCTATGTAGTTTCTTTGGTATATTTCATGAAACATTGTATCTGATATATTTTTCATATATAAAATTTTTGTTTTTCTGCTAAATAAATATCTTAAACTACACAATTTTCTTTTTCATCACTTTGTCTTCGATGTCAGTTATGTATAAAGGAATCAGTCAACACTGGCACATTGTCAAAGCTCAATTCCAACATATGCTGAATTATCACATTCTCCATATCCAAATTACAACATCATTTGCATATTTAGTGTGCATATTTAGGATGTTTTTGAGTACATGTAAGCTGTGCAGTCTTCACCTTCCGCCAGAGGGGGTATCAATTGGTGGATCAGTCTATCAGTGGATCCAGACGAGAATATCCTCAACCTCGGAGAACGACTCAAGAAAGATGCTCAGAAGTTTTCTTCTACTCACAGCTATGACAAGACTATAAGATCACAAATCCTCTGAAAAACTGCTACCTTGAAGACGAGACACATTTATGCTTCCTCTGCACTAAAGCACCATTTTATCTGACAGCTGAGGATCACAGAATAAGATACCAAGAGGTGAACAGCTTGCCTTACAACATCCTGTGTCAATATATACAACATCCTGTAAGTGTCATTTACATAGCATGGTGTATAGAAGACTATTTTACTAAAGTAATTATTTCCAATTAAAAATCCTGTGAAATGACTGTATATACTTGAGAAAATTTAGCAGCCTCAAATAGAAGACATTAATATTAAATTGCCAAATTAAAAAAAAAAAACTAATTATTTTGTGCTAATCTACAAATAGTGTATTAGTTTAGGCCATATTTTGTCATTTATTTTACCACAAATATGTTCTTAGTATCTGTAAAAATTAATATTTTTTTCTTCTTCTTCCGGAAAGATTAATTAATTATGCTTCTGAATGCCATTCATTCATTCTTTTTTTTTAATACAGGTGATACTTCTCTCTACCGACAGACACTAAGCCATGGCTGTAAATCTGTGTTTTGCTCTGTATTCTTATGCTGTTAGCATGTTTTACCCAGCCAAAACCTCATGATGATCTACCATTATGCTCGATGGAGATTAGAGGTAAAATTTTACTGACCTGAAAAACGAAATCTAAAATTTAACATGCCTTTGAATTATCACTACAAAATATCAGATTCCTAATACTTCATATTCCTTGTACTATTATTTCTCTGTAGATCCAAACATTGATGCAGTGTGGTATAAAGGCAGAGGAATACGACCTGTTGAGAGATTTGGCTGAAGAATGGCACAAAAAGGTGAAGGATCATATTTTGGAAAGCACAGGTTCTGCTATCCTGAGGTCCTGACTGTGGACTGACAACTTAATTATAAATTCCATAAACTGATCTTCATCTGTTTTGTGAGAACTTATTTCAATATCCCTTTCACTCCAATACATTTTGTTTCAAAATAACACTTTAATGTATGGGTTAAATCATTAATGAATAATAAATAACAGATCTTTTTTTTCTGTATTGTGATGTACATCTGAGTGAAACGAATTAGTGATAAAGAAAAAAAATGTAGTTGAATGGAAGCAGATCTTAATGGAAAAAAAAGACATGCATGGATGAATCATTCACAATAAGATAACATACAATTAGAAAATATATAGGGTGAATTTTCATTTCACGCTGACTTTAAAATGTGTCATTGTATTTGTTTAGATAACCTGTTTACAGATGTAGCCTTACTTGGTGACTTCACTGTCTGAAACTACTTAACGTGTTAATGCTACACGCAGAGAAAAAAAAAGACAAATAAAACCATTTAAGGTCTCTTGATTTATACTTTTATAATTTCAGTGTTCTAGAAAGACAGGCTGGTGGAATGTTGAAAAAACAGTCAGAATTCATTTAAACTATCATAATCTGCAGCAAATGAGTATTAGAGTATATAGAGCTTATACAGCTCAAATCCATTGTCATTCTTTATCCAACAAACATGATAACACTGAAATGTTGGAAGTAGCTATCAGCAGCCGCTTTCTCAATGTTGTAACAATTTGTTGTCACTGTGATTGGTACTATGACAAACAATAAATGTGATAAATCAAACCAAATGAGGTTAATTAAGAGAGCAATGGTCAGACTGACGTCACTGTAGATAGAATCTGTCTGTTCTATCTGCTTGAAGTTCTCGAAAGGCCATATGAATTTGAAAACTCCAGATGAATCCAAACAAGAGTCTTGGCAAAGGCAGTTCACGTGGTCTGTTATGTGCAAACGCACCCTCAGCACATCCAGCAATGGGTCATGTTCTTTCACAAGCACCACTGAGCATTCAATAACGAATTTATACATTAAAACAGACTCTCAGAATCTGCAGGAATGACTTTCAGTGGTGGCCAAAAACAGAGCTGAGGTAAAAACTCAAAATGCTCAGCGGTCCAAAGAACGTTTCTGGATCGCCTCCATAACAACGTTTTTGAGGAGGGCGATTACAGAACGAGGGTCATCACTGCTCACTACAGCACTGCCCGACACGATCATGTTGGCTCCAGCCTAGGAATGTTGGAGTAATGAATAAAGATGAGTAAAACACTTCAAATAATCTCTTGATTTTTTATTCATACAAATGAATATGTGTGCACTAAAGGACAGCTATACCTCAGCACATCTGTAGATGCTGTCTGGGCCAACTCCTCCATCCACTTCAATGTCCAGAGAAGGGAACTGACTCCTGAGCCAGCTCACCTGCAGAGACACAAGCATCTTCAGTGTCCGTTGTCTGAGGAATCTAAATGAGACTAATAGACAGTACACTTGTGTACCTTTGGCATCATATCTTCCATGAACTTCTGACCACCAAAGCCAGGCTCTACAGTCATGACAAGAGCCATATCGATCTGCCCAGCCCACGGTGCCAGTTCCTCAACAGTTGTTCCAGGTTTAATGGCAAGACCAACCTGCATCATAAGAATGTTCTTACAATTTATACTATCAGCAATGCTTGGTCTATTTCAGAATATAAGATTTTCTTTACTTCTAGTCAGATGTATACATCAAAATCAGAGTTTACTAACACCTCCTGTAAACCAGTTAAATTACTTCTGTTCTGCCCAAATCAAATTCTTAGAAGTCTTACAAATATAACTGCCTTAAACAAAGAAAAAATAAATTACATTATTAGTCAGCAGAGGGCGCCATAAGGCCATAGCAGTCAAAGCAACAAAGAATCTGCATACATACATACATACATACATATATATATATATATACACATACATATGTCCAAAAATAAATTAAATGAATTAAATAATTTCATTCATATTTTAATATGATATGCTTATTTTATATTTTATATGCTTCTTTGTGCTTTGCAAAGTAGTAAAGGAATGGCAAATGTGTGTGTGTATTAGGGATGTGCATCTCATGACTCAGGCCGATACGATACACATCTCGATGCATAGCCAACGATACGATACATTAAATATACATATGAAGCAGCTACCGATGCGATGCACCCCTATTACGATGCAGTGCGATCCGTTTTCGATTCGATTCGTGCCAAGTAGGGATGTGCATCTTCATGACTGAGGCCGATACGATACACATCTCGATGCATAGCCAACGATACGATACATTAAATATACATATGAAGCAGCTACCGATGCGATGCACCCCTATTACGATGCAGTGCGATCCGTACAGTCTGTCACAGACATGTTTAAACACAATAAATATAAGCAACACATTATTCAATGCGTTTTAATTTTGCATTTACTTCTAGATTTATGTATTAAGTTGCTCAAGCAAGTGGCAAAACATTTAAACTACTTTCTTACTTTATCACAAACTTACCATTGACAGAAAGTCAGCTCTACTGCCTTTCCTTTTGCACTTAAATCTTTATTAAATGCAATCCTGCGCTTCATAAAGAACTTTGTTTTACTACCTGCCATCTATTATTGCCTTGTTTATCTAAAAGTGCTCTTTCCCTTTAAACCTAGCCAAAAAGCCATATGTGTTGACTCCGAAACAGTAGACTTTAATAATATGCATTTATGGTTTAATTACTACATTTTCGTGTCAATCCATGTTCATGTTTACTGCAAAAATGCACTGTTACTTTAATTCAGCGCTTGCAGCACAGCAAAAATAGACTCGGAAACCATCTCTGCACTGCTGCAGACGCACCGCTCGTGGAACGCACTGACGGACCGCAACGTTGTTCAGTGTGCGCGTTGTGACACTGCCTCGATTGTGCAAGTGACAATTCCTGTGTCAACTGTGCAGCGTGCAGCTCGCTTATAGACAGACACCATGTGGTGATTTGAAGACGTTTGTGTATTTTGAGAGAGCGCGTGCGTGAAATTACGTCTCACAAAATGTATTCAAATTACTTTATAATTATTATTTATAAATATCTAATGAAGAAATGTGAAGGCGAGTACCTCACCTTCAGCATTATAATGATTTCACCCGCGCCAGACAGAGACGGTGCCGCTGCATGTCATGCCAAACCTCTCATGGCAGTGTCATCAGCTTGAGATCGGTTTTTTGAGATCGGCCTTTTTAGAGACCGCCGATCGATCATCCCAGCGTGATTATCGGCCGATAATGATTGGTAGCCGATCAATCGGAGCACCCCTAGTTTTGGACTTTAATCCCAGTTTTTCCTCAAGTCTCCGTGGTGTTGTGATGATGCGTCTTATTCATGCAGCAGCAGCGGTGATGAGACAGCGCGCTTGAGAAACAGTTTAGAGAGGAGAAATCAATCTACTTACAAAATATTGGTCACAGATTATTGGTCCCTTTCTAAATAATAAAAGTATAGCGCACCCACTAGTAATTATATATAAATAAATCGTTTTTTACCGATGCAACTATGTTAGAAACGATGCATCGCGATATAAATGACAACTTGTAGCCGATGCACACTTTTTAAACCGATGCATCGCATCGTTAACTTTTTATGCCGATGCACAGAGCGAATCGGGGAATCTTCCCATCCCTAGTGCGTATATGTATATATACCGTTCGGTTCTTCCCTTTTTTACAGACCTTCATGCCGCTCTCCCTGATTTCCTTGATGAGGCTGCCAGGGTTGGTCGTGGCTTCTAGATGGAAAGTGTACTGATTGGCTCCCGCTGCTGCCATGGGCTTCACCCATTGCTCTGGCCTGGACACCATCATATGCATGTCTGTAATACGGCAAAGGGTAAGCAAAGCCTCCAAACCTACACAGAGCAAACACTGCAATGTTTTACTTATCTGGTTTATCCTAGAGGCAATGTTTATTTAAGAATACAGAAAGAGAGTGAAAATGTGAAAGAACCCAGGGTGTCTACTTGAGAGGATTACAAACAAAACTGTCCCAACGAAGAGGACCAGATTGTGTGCAGCTCAAATGAAACAGAAACTAGAGCAGATGCAATTTTGCAATGACTGGAACTCACCAAAAAAAGGATCAGGTCCGATACAGCGTCGTAAACATTCCACCATAGGATGTCCAAATGTGATGTTTGGAACAAAATGCCTTCAGCAAATTTAAAGATGAAGGAAAGAGATTGAAAAAGGCAGGGTTAGATATCTTAACTTCTGACCAAAAAAAAAAAAACTGACAAAAATATTAAACACTGCAACTGTTTTCAACATTGACAATAATAATAAATAAACAACAAAAGTTTTTTTGAGCACTAATTCAGCATATTTGAATGAATTCTGAAGTATCGTGTGACACTGAAGATTGGAGTAATGGCTGCTGAAAATTCAGCATTGACATCACAGGGATAAACAACATTTTAAATTGTAATAATATTTCACAAACTTACTGTCTTCTGTATTTTTTAATCAAATAAATGCAGCCTCAGTGAGCATAAGAGACTTACTTTTAAAAACATTTATTTATTTATTTACCAAACCCAACCTTTTAAATTGTGTGTGT